AGCCACGACACGTGAGGCAACACATGAAGTAGACATTGCTGTTTTTATTAAACTAGAAGAAAGTTAAAGCTCAGAAAGGTTATGCCCAGGCCCTGAAACCTAGTGCTTGGTGAAGTGCCTTGTCGTATTCTTTCAACTGTCCCGCTTCATCCTCAACGTCCAATTTCTCCCCGGCAGAAAATCTCTGGTTCCAAGTTCCACGAAGGCAAGACACTGAGAGATTTTTCACTTTCTTCTCTGAGTCAGAGACCCCTAGCAAGATAGCCTTTTTGAAACTTGTGTTGCTGTAGGAATGTTTAGAGCTTTGTCAGATCAATATGTTAAAGGTGTGCCTGTTTCTCTGTAATGTACTGAACTTGGGGATTTATGACTCAGTAATGAAAATTCGATCTGGCACAGCCCTAAGCATGTGAGCTCCCAGGCCAGGAAGGATTTGTTTTTCCAATAGCTGACAAAATCTGGCTTGACCGTGGCTTGCAGGAATGCAGCACCCCAAAAAAGGACCCTAGCATTTTGGAGAATTTTGTTTATATGACACTAAGCCCCAAATGACCTTAAATTCTAAATAAAGGTTCCATGGTCAATTTGTATAAGAGGCTTGTTTTTAAAGAAAATAAATTATATGACAGGTTTATTATATATATTACAAACTGGACTGGTGAACATTTTACTCAACATTTAAAAATCTTTAATTAAGACCTTTCAGTACATAAAGCTTACATACCAAAATCTCGGCAAAAATCCGTAAAATCTAAACACATTTCTAACAGAAAGAACGGTGCCACAGAAGTTTACACACGGAGGCCTTCAGGGCGGCTGTGCCGAGCTGGTACCATTCTCTTCGTCTCATTGTTCTCGCTGGCAAGAACTTTCAGGGCATGAAAGTTGTCAGCCTGCGTCCCGGGGCACTTGGCAAGTGAGAGCTGTTTAACACAGAGTGTCCATAAGGCCACAGCTATGATATCTAAGAATAACCAACACTGATTCCCTAGGTCGGACTCTCGTGACCGCCCCACCGCAAGGCCACAGCGTCCCGAGCAAGGGAAGTGTCACCCTTTCCCCACAGAATCTAAGCTAGCCAGAAGTGACACTCAGTGGTGACTCTCCTTCTTTCCTCTACAGGCTGTGACACGAGGCATGGAGACGCAGAAGTCACAGTTGGGAGGCGGCGGGGGCTGGGGTGGGTGGAAAGCCCTCTGCAGCCACCGGCCGGCGCGGGCAGTGAGACAGGGCAGGTGTTTTCTGGCGGTGCTGCCCTGGACTCTGCTGCTCCTTCTCCGGCGGGAGTATCTGCCGCTTGCAGAGAAGGTCTAAGAGCGGGGAGGGCATGGGAAGTTGTGTAAACTTCAATGGGACTGCATAAACACAGGCGGCGATGTTTTATGTCTCTTTGATCTTTTCCAAGGACGTCTGGCTGTCGCTGCTGCTCTGGGCTGCAGCGCAACACCGAGAGAAGCTATGACTCAGTGGTGTTTTTTGGTTTTCAGTAACATCTTTAATCACCACGTGAATATTTATAAACTGTTGGGGCCAGAGAGTATGAAAGTTGTTCTGCAGGCACCGTTGCTCCCAGCCGCTGTGTACATTTCCTCTCTCTCTCTCTCTCTCTCTCTCTCTCTCTCTCTTTCTTTCTTTCTTTCTCTCTCTCTCTCTCTCTCTCTCTCTCTCTCTCTCTCTCTCTCTCTCTCTCTCGCAGCTGTTCTCTTACTTCCCAGGGACTGGCTGCAAAAATAAAGAGAAACTTGTTCCGGAATGTGTCACAGAAGCCCCCGCTGGTTCTGAAGGGAGCTGAGCTGGATTCGGGCAGCGCACGGCCAGTGTAGCAGTGGGGGGCGGGCTGGACGAGAAGGAAGGTGTGCCGGGAGACCTCACGGTCACCGTGACCTTGGCCACCCTCCGGACACCCAGGTGCCTGCTTGCCCTTGGCTTGTGTGTGGCTCGACTGCTCATTTAGTCTCCAGAGACACCTTACAAAAGCCTTTCGCTACCTGTATTTTTATGTGGGTGTAAATTCACTTTAGTTCCTTAGCATGGACCCTTTGTACAGTTATCTGGGCCAGTGCTTCCAAGCGAGGTTGGATTGCTTCACATCTGGAATATTTCAAGTTTATCCTTCTTGGAATCAGTGTCGTGAGTGTTTTCCCCCAGGGTCAGTTCAAGAGTCTGCCGTCAACATGATGTTCTCTAATTACACGGGTCATGCAACTCCGACTCCACGGACATGTGTTTTTGTATTTAGGGGCTTCTTGCTTTACCCCTGGTTGTACGTTGCTCTCAGCTCCGCTCTTTCCCACTGTCTCTACCTCGGGTCTTCCCGAGGTTTTACCCTGGCCTACATCTTTTCAGTAATGGAAGGAGAGAATGAGGGGTTAGTCCACTGGACACTGGTCCCCTTTCCTCCAATTAATTACCAAGTTAAAGCTGTGTTCAAGCAGGGAGCTTAATTTATTTGGTCTTGAATTTCTCAATATTTAAAATGTTTCAGTGTATTAGTAATGACAATTAGAGGGTTGTTTAAAAGTCAAACAAGAAATGTATATCAATGTGCTTTGTAAACTTTAAAGCTCAATAAGAATGTAAGATCTTGCTATTATTATATGATCATAACATCTGCCACTCCTGCAGCTTCCTTGGTTGCTGGCCTAGATATTAAATCAATCCTGTTCTCCTTTTAATTTTTAAAAATTATGTTGAGGCCAGGCACAGTGGCTCACGCCTGTAATCCTAGAACTCTGGGAGGCTGAGGCAGGCGGATCGCTCAATGTCAGGAGTTCGAAACCAGCCTGAGGAAGAGCGAGACCCTGTCTCTACTAAAAAAATAGAAAGAAATTAATTGCTCAACTAAAATATATAGAAAAAAATTAGCCAGGCATGGTGGCACATGCCTGTAGTCCCAGCTACTCGGGAGGCTGAGGCAGGAGGATCTCTTGAGCAGGCGTTTGAGGTTGCTGTGAGCTAGGCTGACGCCACGGGACTCTAGCCAGAGCAACAGAGTGAGACTCTGTCTCAAAAAACAAACAAACAAACCAACAAACAAAAAATTATGTTGAACATGTGAAGTTGCTGATATTTGAATTATATTGCTGATGTTTCACCTATAAGAATGGCAATTGCCAATGGCTTACTCTAATAATTAAAAATATATAAAGAGCTGGGCATGGTGGTGTGCACCTGTGAACTCAGCTGCTCGGGAGGCCAAGGCAGGAGCACAGCTGAGCCCACAGTTAAAGACCAGCCTGGACAGCACAGCCAGACCCCACCACAGAAAATATATCAAAGTGATATATGACTATGGTGAAACCCCAAACAATACCAATAGATGAATAACGATATAAAGCTCTGGTTTATTTCTCATTTTGCTAGGATGTGAGTTTCTCAAATATAATTATAGCTGCTGGTTTACCTTGGTCTCTTTTTTTCTGTTTCGATGTGGTTTCCCTTAAATGTCTGGTAAGTTCCCCTCGTCTGTTCACATTTGACAGTGACTCGTTAAGACGGTGAATAGGATCTGTGCTATCACCAATAAGGCTTGTCTAGCAGTTTTGTTTTGAGGAGTTATGCTAGAGAGTTCCCAGATTAGTAAGAGATGTCTTTGGTCTAGGCGACTTCATCTCTCTGGAAGGCAGGTGCTTGGTTGTTGGTGTTCTAGTCACTGGTTACCTCGGGCGGGTGGGTGGGCAGCGATAGGTGAGATAGGATATTACTGAGGGCCGACTGTTGGATGTGCAAGTTTCAGACACCTGTCTCGATTCTCCTCTGCGCCTCACCCCACATGCCCCTGGGGGTCCTGCGGACTGTGGCTGCTTTGCTCTGGTGTGTCAGCCACCAAAGCCCTGCTGGCCCCGGCGGGTCACTCTCCCACTGTAGCAGTTTCTTGGGAGGGAAGGGACACAGCACAGTGAGCATCTGCTCCACGTCTTTAACCTGCAGGGCTTTTCCTTGTAACCAAAACCAGCATAGTTTGAGAAAGGGCTTAAATTTACCCAGTGACTCAACCTTTTGGGACAATTCGAGCATCTTAAGGCACCGAGTTGAGTTTCCCGAAAAAGGGAGGCCGGGGGACAATTGTTTAATCTCTGCTTTGATTTGAATATACCAGGTTTGCCTGGTGTTGTATGCACTCCAAAGGCACAGATCAATTTGTTCTGTTTTCTTCTAAAAAAAGGTGGCTCACACCTGTCATCCTAGCTCTCTGGGAGGCTGAGGCGGGGGGATTGCTGGAGGTCAGGAGTTCAAAACCGGCCTGAGCAAGAGCAAGACCCGTCTCTACTATAAATAGAAAGAAATTAATTGGCCAACTGACATATATAGAAAAAATTCGCCGGGCATGGTGGCGCATGCCTGTAGTCCCAGCTACTCGGGAGGCTGAGGCAGGAGGATCGCTGAGCCCAGGAGATTGAGGTTGCTGTGAGCGAGGCTGACGCCACAACACTCACTCTAGCCTGGGCAACAGAGTGAGACTCTGTCTCAAAAATAAATAAATAAAATTTAATAAAAAATGGCACAACTACTCGATTGCGCACTGAAGGTGTGACCAAATCTCTATCTGCGACAGAGTTTATTCTTTCTGTCAGTACGAATCATCTGACTTTGAAAAGGCACACGTTGTGTGGCAATGCTTATGCATCTCCCGGTCTTCTCGACTCTCCGGTGAGGGGCCGGCGGGCACTTGTCGCGTCATTGCTGCGACACGCTCCGCGGGCGGCGGCCGCGGGTCTTCGCGGGAAACGGGCGAGGAGGGCGGCCTCGCGCGGGCCTCCCCAGGGCAGCGGCGGCGGCGGGCCCGAGTTGCCAGAGCAGCCGAACCGAAACCGGGACTTTCCTGCTTTGCCACCGCGCACCGTCCCCGGCGGGTCCCCGTCCCCGGCGGGTCCCCGGACGCGGCTCTCGTCGCGCGAGACCCGGAGGACCCGCGAGGCCGCGCGGGCAGGGCCGGCGGGCGCGCGCGCTCCTCCCCGCGGTCTCGGGCGCCCTCTGGCGGCAGGAACCCGCGTGCGCGCCGCCCGGCCTGGAGACGCCAAGGCCCAGTCCCGGTTCCCAGGCTGGGTTCCGAGTCTGCCACCCTCGTTCCTCTTCTGTAGAAACTCCCCGCCCCCGTCAGACAGGTGGGCTCTCGGCCACAGGTAAGAAGAGCGGCCTCCTTAGTTCAGTGACCTTTGGCGTTGTGCGCCTCTGGGGACGTCTCGGCCAGCAGTTTTCAGGTAAGAGGTGAGGGGGCTTCCCACCCTACAAGCCTGATGTCTAAATCCCAGGTGAAACAGTCTAACTGCTGCATTTCCCCGTTCCGGGGCATGTTCCGGCACGCTTTTGTGTCTGTGAAGTTAACGTGCCCCTTATAATCCATGCACCGCATTTAGTGTGATGGGGTCTCCCCTGTCCCCATGAAATATTATCAATAAATTATTGGTGAATGTTCATGTAATGATGTCTCAGAATTAAGAACATCCAAGTTACAAGCATTTTCCCAGGGGGAAAACACAGGTTGAGGCTAAAATCCATTATTGGAATTTCTTACTGACTCTGACAAGAGGCTGGACCAGCACCAGTGGGTCCGTGCCGTCTTTCTGCACCGCTGGCTTGAACTTGGGTCCCTGCAAAACCCCACAGTCGTGACCCTTGCAGGGAGATCGCCAGCGGAAATTTACATTAATGCGCTTGCACTGCTTGCTCAATTGTAAAAAACGAGAAATTTTTATTTGAGTAATATTCTTAAATGAGAGTAGTACAGTTGAATCAATTTTTATATACCTAATTATTTGTTATTGTATTATCTAAGCTATATTTTTCCTTAAAGCAGCCATATAAGCACTCCTGCACCTGATTCCAGAAAGTGGGTAGTAATAGAACCCCATTGTCTTCTTTTTAGAAAAATATTTATTTTATTGGCCGGGCGCGGTGGCTCACGCCTATAATCCTAGCACTCTGGGAGGCCGAGGCGGGGGGATTGCTGGAGATCAGGAGTTCGAACCCAGCCTGAGCAAGAGCGAGACCCCGTCTCTACTATAAATAGAAAGAAATTAATTGACCAACTAACATATATAGAAAAAAAAATTAGCCGGGCGTGGTGGAGCATGTCTGTAGTCCCAGCTACTCGGGAGGCTGAGGCAGGAGGATCGCTTGAGTCCAGGAGATTGAGGATGCTGTGAGCTAGGCTGACGCCACGGCACTCACTCTAGCCTGGGCAACAAAGTGAGACTCTGTCTCAAAAAAAATAAAAAGAAAAATATTTTATTTACCAAAGTCCATAGTTCACATTAGGTTTCACGCTTTGTGTTCTACATTCGACACGCGTTGACAGCGTGATCTAAGTGTCCACCACTGCAGTTTAGCTGCCCCAACCAGCCTCGTGCTCCCCCTGGTCACCCCTACTCTCCCCAGCCCGGCAACCACTGATCATTTCACTGTCTATACGGTTTTGCCTTTTCCAGAATGTCATTTATCTGGAACCACACAGCATGTAACCTTTTCAGACTGGTTTCTTTCTCTTAGCAATGTCCATTTTAGCCTCCCTGTCTTTCCGTGCCTTGACAGCTCGTGATAATATTCCACTGTCTGGATGCACCACCGTTTATCCATTCACCTTCTGGAGGAAATCTTGGTGGCCTCCAGGTCTGGGCTATTATGAATAAAGCTTCTATAAACATTTATGTGCAAGTTTTTGTGTGCATATTTAGCCCAGTTGGGTAAATAGCTAGGAGCACAGTTGCTGGATGCCATGGTGAGCCTGGTTTAGCTTTGCAAGACACTGCCAGACTGTGTTCCAAAGTGGCTGCACATTTTGCAGCCCTCCCCCCCCCAGCAGTGAGTGAGAGCCCCCTTGCTGCACATCCTCACCAGCAGTTAGTGCTGTCAGCCACCTGGGTCTTGGCCATTCCAATTGGTGCATAGTGCAATCTCATTGTTGTTTGAACTTACAATTTCCTTATGGCACAATATTGAGCATTTTTCCGTGCCTTTGGTTTCCACCTGCATGTCTTCTTTAGTGAAGTGTCCGTTCAGAACTTTTGCACATTTTTAACTGGGTTGTTTGTTCTCTTATTGTTGAATTTTAAGAGTTCTTTGCATATTTTGGATATAAGTCATAAATCAGATATGTTATGAAAACATTTTCTCACAGTCTGTGATTTATCTTTTTATTCTCTTAACATTCTTTTTTTTTGTTAAACAAAACTTTTTCATTTTAACTAAGTCTAACATCAATTTTTTCTTCATGGATCATGCTTTTGATGTTGTATCTAAGGTTATCACCAAATCCAATAGATTTTCTCCTTATGTTATTTTCTAGAAGTTTGATAATTTTGCATTTTACCTTTAAGTCTAATCCTACTTTCCACATGGATGTCCAGTGTTGCAGCACTACTTGTTGAAAAGATGATCCTTTTGCTCCTTTGTGAAAGATCCACTGGCTGTATTTGAGTCTGCTTATGAGCTCTCTATTCTGTTTTATTGATCCATTTGTCTCCAATTTTTTTGAAAAAGGAATCGAATTGCTACCCTAGTTTGTTTATGAGTTCTCATTTGTAAATATTAATAGAAAAGTAGAAATTAATACCTCGTCTTTCAGGGCAGAAGGCACATTGAATACAATGAGTGGAATGAGTGACTATAAGGATCTGATCACAGTGGTAACAAGTTTGATAACTAATGACATTAACAGCAGCGTAATTCATTGCAGTATTTTTTCTTTCCATGATTTCCACTCTCGGCAGGTCATTGCCAGTCCCTTTTGAGCTCTCTCCACTCAAGGACTTCTGTGGGGCAGAAAGCAGGAATAGCATGAGATCGGTGGAGAGAGAGAAGGCAACTTTCCAAGGCTGGGAATGGCCAGTTGTGGCCACACCTGGGGAGGGGGTGCCCAGAGACAGTTGCTGGCCTCCAAGGCCCCAGGTGCAGCAGGTTTCCACGGCTGTGAGATCCCCGGGAGAAAGAGGGGCTGGACTCCCAGGGGCCCCTGTGGAACTAGAAAGTGAGGGAGTGAGCAGTGACAATACCAGCTGATTATTAGAGGCCCTTCCTCCACTTTTTGGCAACCATAGGAGTCTTCTGATTAGTGGTGCAATCTTGGCACCGCAGCCATGGTGGAGCGGAATATTCTACCATTCTGGAGGGTGAGAGCTCAAGGTCAGGATTGAACTGATTAGGAAAAACAATAAACTTTTGTTTTCTTTTACGTATGTGAGTTTGTGAGTGGAGAGCCACACTGCTGTAAAATCTGCAGATCGAGGCCGGGCGCTGTGGCTCACGCCTGTAATCCTAGCTCTTGGGAGGCCGAGGCGGGCGGATTGCTCAAGGTCAGGAGTTCAAAACCAGCCTGAGCAAGAGCAAGACCCCCGTCTCTACTATAAACAGAAAGAAATTAATTGGCCAACTGATATATATATATAAAAAATTAGCCGGGCATAGTGGCACATGCCTGTAGTCCCAGCTACTCGGGAGGCTGAGGCAGAAGGATCACTCGAGCCCAGGAGTTTGAGGTTGCTGTGAGCTAGGCTGATGCCACGGCACTCACTCTAGCCTGGACAACAAAGTGAGACTCTGTCTCAAAAAAAAAAAAAAAAAAAAAAAATCTGCAGATCGTAGGTTGTGTGTTTCTCATTTGCACTTCAGAAATGTCAAGTCTGAAAAAGAAGCCCTTCGAACCACCTGGGAAGAGAAAACAGCTTGACAAGGAAAGGTGTATTTGTCTGAGCCCAATAACCAATGTAAACATCCATGCTAACCCTTCTTATTTTTCAAAATGTAAGGCTCAGCTGAAAGAAGAGCAGGCAACTGACAACTGTTGTGTCCCCGACACAACTGGAGATACTGCGCATTCCTTACTTCATTGACGTCGCAGGAAAGAAGATCCCCGCAGCTCTGCACCTGGCCACGCCGCATGCTCGCAAGAACCTCACAGGGCAAGTGTTGTGACCCCATGCAAGGAAAAGGAAACTGGCTCCCAGGTGTTTAGCATCTCGCTCAAGTTCTCACATTTAATCAGGGACCCCAGTTTAAATCCTGCCCTCAGTCTCCGAGTGTTGCCACGTGTGCCGGGAGCCCACCCACTGAGCCGCGGACACCACTCACGATCGCGTGGCCCCGCCCGGAGCAGAACCGCCTGTGGCCTTTCCAAGCCACCTGACACCCAGGTACCTCTCACCTGGGCGGGCACCTGGAGACACAGTGTGTGTGGTGACACACTTCCAGGAGTCAGATTGTTCAGTTTGATAGACTATCTAACTCTATGTCTATTAGGGATAAAGGGAGACTGATTGGGCAATATGCAATATGCAGCATATCTATTTTGCCAACAAGTTGGAAGTTCCAACGCTATTGGAAGCAGGGGCGCAGGTTATAACGGTGAGTCTTTTATGAGATTAAATTCACGTCAGACTGAACCGGTGACTCCAGCTGTGTGAGCAAGATGAGACACTAAACATTCAGTTTTAAAAGTTCCTTTCTTAGGTCATAGCAAGAGCTAAATATATCTGACTCTCATTTCCACTAAGAGGTTGCACTGTGATCTTGCAGTTAGTCACTCATCCAGCTCAAGGGGTATTTATTAAACACCTGCTCTGTGCATGACATTAGCTAGAAGCAGGATGTCCACCTTCAAAGAAACTTGCCCTGTGGCTCTAAGTCACAACTTTGTACAATTAGCACACATTTCTGATTTGAAATATATATCTACTGCTGCAAATGCATAAATAGTGAGTCAAATCCATAACGGAGCTAATAGTTGCTTTGAATTAATTTTAAAAATTATCTTGGGAATTGGAAAAAGATGTCAACATGAAGCAATAAAAGTTTTATTAGAGCCCTAAGATAATATATGAACATGCTAATGAGGCACATTGTTTAAATACAACTGCAACCTGCCACTTTTAGATTGAAGTAAATCGTAAAACCTTAAAGTTGAACAAGATTCCAGTGTTAGAGCTCTAGACCACAAAAACTGAATTTTTTTATTCTAAATTTTGTGATGTTTTACCCAGAAATACAGATTTTCCTGGTACTAAGAACTGCAAGACATTTCACTTGGGATCTCCCTACAGTGAACCATGAGATATTAACATCAGTATAGCAGGTTCTGTCACAAATATCAGGTGGCTTGTATATATCTGAACAAAGATTAGTGATATGTAACCGAAACTTAATTCAGCCCTAGCTGGAGGCTACCACATTAAACTCCTCATTTGCTGTGCACAGCTCACACTCTCCTAGAGAAGTTTTGGAGGGAGAAAAGCCTGTCAAGGCTGGCTGGGAGCAGTGGCTCACGCCTGTAATCCTAGCACTCAGGGAGGCCAAAGCAGGAGGATCGCTTGACCTCAGGAGTTCGACACCAGCCTGAGCAACAGTGAGACCCATTCTCTACCAAAAAGAAAAGAAAAAGAAAAAGAAATGCACAAAATAACAAAACCCAGCCAGGCATGGCAGCCCATGCCTGTAGTACCAGGTACCCGGAGGCTGAGGCAGGAGGATCGCTCCCAGCCCAGGAGTTGGAGCTTGCAGTGAGCTACAATGCCATCACTGTACTCCACCCAGGGCAATCGAGTGACAGTCTGTCTCAACAAAAACAAACAGGGCAACTCGAGGCAGTTTACACCTCGGTTAATCCGATTGTCAGAAATGTTTCCCCATGTAGACCTGAAGTTGCTCTCCCTCCACAGGAATCCACTGATCCTATTTTTCCCAGTGGAGCCACAGACAATAAGGCCACGTGACTTTCCTACGTGCCTGCACTCCAAGTCTTTGGATGGCCACATGTCCCAACCCAAGAAGAAGTGTCATTGCGTTACACTTCTGAAAAGTCAAACATCCAACTGCACCACTCAGCATCCATTCCAGGGGGAAATACGGTGAAATCAGATTTAAACCATGGAAATGAAAATTTAATTTGTTGGTGTGTAGCCTTTTACAAATTTTTTACCATAATATTCAATGTCATCAGTCATATTTAGGGGAAGCAATACATTAAACATGAAAAATCATTGTTTTAAAATACATGAAAATGTGGAAGAGAAATTTCCCATCCCTTCCAGACACTCCGGCGGGGTGGAGAGCCCCCAGGCAGCAGAGGTGGCGAGGAAACTCAGTCTCTTCCCAATTTCCTTCGCATTTATCACGAGAGAAAAACCAGCTTAATGTCCTTGCACAGATCAAATTTTGATTTACTCTCTTGACTAGCTAAAGACTACAACTAATATACCCCTTAACGGCGCTGCGAAGAACATCCAGCCTCCAGAGTCCTATCTGTTAGGGATTTTAGAAAGCAAAAGTGCTGAGCAGAAATAGCAGATTTATAAGCGGCAGGAACTTCATTCCGCTCAAGCTCTGATCTCATCCTCCGGAGTAGTAAATTATGCAGTATTATCACTGTAACTTAAAACAAACTGGTTTTTTGTTTGTTTTTTGTTGTTGTTGTTGTTTTGCTCTCTATTGCAGTGTTACGGTTTTTAGAACGTGGATTTGCACGGGTGTCAGTGCTGCGTACCAAGTTGGAGTTCCGAGGACCAGGAGGGAAAACGATGTAAACCGTTGTGAAAACCAATCTCCCTGCACCTGCGCCCCAGCACCTGCGCCCCAGCACCTGCGCCCCAGCACCTGCGCCCCAGCACCTGCGCCCCAGCACCTGCGCCCCAGCACCTGCGCCCCAGCACCTGCAGCCTCGCCCAGGTGGGGTCAGGCGCGAAAACGGAGCTGCGCTTGGCAATGGTTCGGAGACGGGCGCATTGTCCGTCACCCCAATTCTTGTTGCAGAGAACTCAGAGAGGGTCAGGGGTAGGTGGAAGATAATTACACGATGCATCCGTTGGAATCCCGGCCGCCGGCGCGTCATGAGGGGTAACTGGGAAGGGCGCAGTGAGGGGGTGACCCAGGCCGGGGTGACAGGGGTCCGCTGTGCCGGCCCCGCACTCGCACCCCAGGAGGTGGGCCTCGAGGACTCGGGGTGCAGGGGTGAGAACGGCACCAGCCCAAGCACAGAAGGGGCCAGAGTGACAGAGGCCCTCTCTCTGCACCCCCGTCCCCAGCTTGGCACCCCCAAGTCCTTACCTGCAAGTCCCAGGTCTGGGGTGGGGAGCACTCAGCACACCTGGCCCTGGGAGGCTTTCGGACAGTGACTTCTGGACGAGCGCAACAGGAAAGCACAGCGTTACCCTAACTTCATGACATCTCCTTCTGGGGAAAGGCTTACTGAAAGATAGGTTGCGTTTCAGCTTCTATATATCTTTGCCTAATTTAGTGGGCGTCTGATGTGCTCAGATCCGTTTCAGGTGAAGCTTAAATCGCTGAGCAGATGGCAGTGCCCTGAGATCAGGCACCAAGACACAAGTCCGCAAAGCTCCCAGCCTTAGTAGCTTGGACAGGGGTCCCGTGGCAGGTGGACAATGGCTGCACAGCTGCAGTCATGGCAGCAATTTGTCTAGGATTTCTAAACCAAAAATCCCCCCATAAAAAAGAGAAGTACACAAAATACTAATATGTTCGAAACCAGCCTGAGCAAGAGCAAGACCCCATCTCTACTGAAAATAAAAAGAAATTAATTGGCCAACTAAAAATATATAGAAAAAATCAGCCGGGCATGGTGGCGCATGCCTGTAGTCCCAGCTACTCGGGAGGCTGAGGCAAGAGGATCACTTGAGCCCAGGAGTCTGAGGTTGCTGTGAGCTAGGCTGACGCCACGGCACTCACTCTAGCCCGGGCAACAAGAGTGAGACTCTGTTTCCAAAAATATATATATACTAATATAATCCCCATATAATTCCACGGCATGAAACAACTGTTGCAAATTTGATTTATAAACTCACAGAATTAGGATATGTATGTACGTTTAGAGAGATAGACTTTTATTTAAAATGGAATGAAATTGTACATACTATTTTACATCTTGTTTATTTTGCTCCACATTATATGATGAATACAGTTTTATACCTGATCTTAACCAAAGGGCCAAGAAGCGATCATGAATATGGTTTTTAAAGACAAATGGAATTTTTCAAATTGTTAGAATCAACTGAATTCCATTTTTGTTCCTAGGATGCATTATAGGGAAACATATTTTTCAATAGGTCTGAAGCATAAGTCCTTTACGAATACTTAAAATACTATCCACCTAATATAAATATAGAGTTGAAAATCTCTTAAAATCAGATACCCAGGTGTGTTGTGAACATAAATTTAAATAATTAACAATTTGGAAACATCTGTGACTGAAGGAATTTTCTTTAATTGTTTAGTGTTTTATTAGAAGCTTTAGGTTAATGTAGAAAAAATAATAAATTATTAAATCATCATTTATCAACAAGAAACTTTTAAAATCTTAGGCCTTCCTTACTAGGTTGTATTTATTTTTGTAGCACATTAGGTTCGCTTTCAAGGAACAATAAAATATTACGATTTTGCTCATTTCTTAGCAGTTCCAAAGTAAGTGTAAAAGTCCAGATGAATTAAGGTTGGAGAATTTCTCAGTATTTGGATAAGCTGACAGTCAATCTGTATGTCATTACTTTAAAGTACACACCAATTACGTATGTGTATAACTAACTTTTTAAACAAACACAGCCTTTACCCTTTTTCCTAATTGTAAGGATTCTTGTTAGTGTTAGACCTTGGCACAGCTGGTATTGATTTTTGTCAGCTCATCAGTGACCTTTACCTTTAAAAGTTTATATAACACAACTCCTCTGTGGATACTCTCTGATTAAAAGAAGAGACACATCTGGGAGGCCGAGGTGGGCGGATTACTTGAGGTCAGGAGTTCGAAACCAGCCTGAGCAAGAGCGAGACCCCGTCTCTACTATAAATAGAAAGAAATTAATTGGCCAACTAATGTATATAGAAAAAATCAGCCGGGCATGGTGGTGCATGCCTGTAGTCCCAGCTACTCGGGAGGCTGAGGCAGGAGGATCGCTTGAACCCAGGAGTTTGAGGTTGCTGTGAGCTAGGCTGACGCCACGGCACTCTAGCCTGGGCAACAGAGTGAGACTCTGTCTCAAAAAAAAAAAAATTGATTTTCAATGTATTAGTCTCTTAAATTATGCAGAAAACAAACTGTGCATTTACAACCAAAGTTACAATCGTATCAGCTTTTATTGTTGCCCACGATTTACCTTCCCTGCGCTCTTCATTTCGAGTCCTGTCTGACGCCTTCATTTCTCTGCAGGACTCCCTGGAGCATCTCCTGGTCAGGAAGTCCTCGCATGAATTCTTTCAGCTTTCATTTATCTATGTATGTCTTAATTTTTCCTTCACTTTTGGAAACAATTGTGATGGAGATACCATTCTTAATTGGCAGTTTTTTTCTTTTAGCACTTTGAATGTATCTGCCAGGGCCTTCTGGCCTCCAGAGTTTCTGATGAGAAATCTGCTGATTATCCCACGAGGATCCTTGTATGGGACAAGTTGCTGCTTTCAGATTCTCTTTGTCAGTCTGTGTCGACAGTGCGAACATATGCGTCTTTGTATGGGTCCCTTTGAGTTATCCTATTCGGAATTCATTAAGCTACGTGGGTGTTATATTTGTGTCTTTCATCAAACTTGGGAAGTTTTCAGCATTATTTCTTCAAATAATCTCTCTTCCCCTTTCTCTCCTCTTTCTAAGACTCCTACAATAATAATGCATCTGTTGGTCCACTTGATGGTGCCCTACAGGTACTTTTAACTCTGTTAACTTTTCTTCAATTTGTTTCTTTCTATTCTTAATACTCAATAATTTCAATTATTCTATCTTCATGTTCATTGTTTCTTTCTTCTGCCTGCTCAAGTCTGTCTTTGAATTCATCTAGTGAATTTTTCATTTTAGTTATTTGCTTTTCAAATATGGAGTTTCTTGTTGGTTTCTTGTTATGTTTTCTGTTTATCGATATTTTCATTTTGTTTATATATGTTTTCTTGACTTTCTACATGTTGCATTTAGTTCTTTGAGCATCTTGAGTGGGTGTGCCATATAATCTTTCTTCAGAGACAATTTGCTTTTTCCTTTGAATATGTCTTCCTTTCTTGTTCCTGTGGGTGTCTTGTGACGTTTTTCTTGAAAACCATACATTTACATCTAATAAGGTGGCAACTCTGGTACTCAGATTATGCCCTCTCCTCAGGGCTTGCTGTTTTTGCCATTGTCTTGTTTACTATTTTGTTTTATTTTTTTAAATTATTATTGTAAGCTCTCTCTGTGCCAAAGATCAGCCTGGGTTTTTTGTTTTTGTTTGTTTTTAGAAATAGAGTCTCACTTTGTTGCCCAGGCTAGAGTGAGTGCCGTGGAGTCAGACTAGCTCACAGCAACCTCAAACTCCTGGGCTCAAGCAATTCTGCTGCCTCAGCCTCCCAAGTAGCTGGAACCACAGGCATGTGCCACCATGCCCGGCTAATTTTTTCTATATATATTAGTTGGCCAATTAATTTCCTTCTACTTTTAGTAGAGACGGGGGTCTTGCTCTTGCTCAGGCTGGTTTTGAACTCCTGACCTCGAGCAATCCACCCACCTCGGCCTCCCAGAGTGCTAGGGTTACAGGCGTGAGCCACCGCGCCCGGCCTCAACCTGGGTTTTAAACTTAAGGTCTTCTCGTATCTTTTTTGAGCCTTTGCCTTTCTCTGGGCACATGTGGTCACTTTCTAATTAAAGCTATTTGTGCAATTGCCTTTGAATTTTCTAGTCCTCAATGTCTAGCTCCCAAAAGAGGGAAAAGAGAGAAATCAGGGGGTGGGGGGGGAGGTGCCAGTCCTTAAATACCCTGGAAATTTCTTCAGCCTGAAAGGAAGGGGTTTGCAACAACGGGGGAATGTGCACCGGCAGTGGCTGCCGCCTCCAGTCTGCACCTTCTTGCTCAGAGCAGCAGTTAGAGCACAGAGCCCCAACATTCATTCTCAGGACAGGACCACTACTGCCCACCCCTCCAGGGGCAGGTGTGCACCTGCTCGCCATGGGCCTGGGCTGTGGGATGCATAGCCGCTGCAGAGCTCAGAGCTGCAGTTTACCAAAACTCACCACAATGTACTGTCCAAAACTTCCCCTAAAAGTTGCAAGTCTTTGACGGGCCCTACGGTTCCCGAGGAGTCGCATCAGACAGACGCTGCCACCGCAGTTGCGGCCTGTGTGGGAGACAGACCCCTGGCACTTCCTGTTCCGCCTCCACCCCGATCCTCCAAGGTCACCGACACTCGTGCATCTGTTAGATCTTGTCTTCCGAATGTCCATCACCTTCCTACGGTCCTGGCAGGCTTTCTGTCACTGGCCGAGCTTTTGGTGGCCGTTATGGACTGGATGTCTTTGCACCTCCAAAATTCACATGTGGAAGCCTTAAAAGCTAGTGTGGAGGCCGGACACGGTGGCTCACGCCTGTCATCCTAGCTCTCTGGGAGGCGGAGGCGGCAGATTGCTCGAGGTCAGGAGTTCGAAACCAGCCTGAACAAGAGCAAGACCACATCTCTACTATAAATAGAAAGAAATGAATGGACCAAGTAATATATATAGAAAAAATTAGCCGGGCATGGTGGCGCAAGCCTGTAGTCACAGCTACTTGGGAGGCTGA